CGAAAGAGTATCAATCTTTCGCCAAAAACCCTCATAAAATTGCCGACTCAAAGCCTAAAAAATGTTGAAATTGTGGCCCCAATAGAATGTGACATTCAAGTTATACAATTGATTCCAGTTGATCCACGCCTAGGATTGGGTATGCCTGGCTAGTAGGCTGGAAATAGCTGTTCTCGTCTCCCTGGTTTTTGTCGTTATCCTATTTTGTGTGGGTTCGAGGCTGCGAATTTTTCACAATTGGGTTAAATGAATTAAGTTAACCTGCCAACAACCCCCTAACAGATAATTGAGCCTTGTTGACTTTCTGGTGGATTCTAGATGCTTACTAAGGAAATCCTGCCTGGGCAGTCAGCTTACTGTTCAGTACTGGCGGATTCCATACGAGCGGTAATTTGGGCCGGTAAAAATGATCCAAGTGGTATTTAACTTATGGTGCACGGCGCGGCGTCCTAGCTCAATGGTATGAGTGTTCTATTACTCTACGAGCTATTGCCTAGCCAGTTGTGCTTCGGAAGAGCGGTTGTTCGACTAGTTTGCCAGAAGCAATCGCAAAACGGCCCATCATCCCCAACCGCATGGAAGACAAAACACGACTCTCTTACCCATGTTCCGATGCCTATGCAATCCTTAATCCCTCGATCGATTCTCCGATTTTCCATAAGCATAAGCCTAGTTAACTGCTGCAGTATGGCGAGAGCTGGAATAAAAATGTCGCAATTTGCGGCAGACTCGTTTTTACTCACAAACCAACCAATATTGATGGTCGTGCAGTCTAATCTCAGGCCTTTCCATTCGCGACAGGACGTCGGCCTTTAAATGAACCTCTTTCTGACCATTTAGGAAATTTAGACTCATTCAAAGTTTTGTACATTACTATACTAACTTGCACGAGCGTACTTATTGTAGTTAACGGAACAGTCCATTTTTGAAAAGGGTTCAGAATATCAGGACAATAAATCAATTCATCCGATGCTCGACACGTCTTCTTCCCTATCCATGCAGATACCTGGAACGCGAACCTTTTCATTTATTTTCTATTTTGCGCGAGACTTCTACAAATACAACATTGCGTCTGGGAGCAAGATGCCCTATTACTTCATCTGCCCCGACGTCAAGGATACGCTGTAAACACAAAAAGAAGATACAATCACTTGAACAAGAGTTATATTCTCCTAAAGTTTCGGATTCTGTCGAGAATCCCTAAGCAAAGGTAACGGTAAGATAGCCTGAGCCATGCGCAGATAGGCATGAAACATGCACAGATTAGACAGTATTTATAGTTTTTTGCTCTCATCCTTACGCCTACTATAATTATCGGCTCCTTTAATCACCGCTTGGGGTCTTAATTGGTGCGCTGATGGCTTATAACTTTGCGTTAGACTCATCAATTGCCGCGATTCCCTTGTCGATGTCGCATGCGGGTTTTATAATTGCGCGATAATTATGCTCGCTGTCGTCAGAGATGTTGCTGGGCCCGCCCTTTACATGTGATTGCTTCTCTTGCTCAGACAATGTTTCAGTACGCATAATGGAAACGCCAAAACATTGCACTTGTTGATGGAATACGGCCTGAGAATCATGACTCGAGCAGCCTGCGGCTCACGTGGTTTTCACCTCTTGCGAGGATTTCGACCTCGTTAAATTTGAAAAAAATGGCCCGGTCCTGTTGAGTGAGCTGCAACCTGCGAGTTAGCGTCTTTCTTCCTCACCGCCCGCCTACCGGATGGTAAGCAAACGGCTCAAGTCAGTTCGAACAAGACCAACAGGACGGCCAAGCAGACACAAGCGTGGAGTACAACTGAGATCAGAGGAAGATAGTAGAGGGGTGAATCCGGGACCACGTGATCAGCGTTAAACGCTACCTCACCGCTACCGCGCACATAAGATTGTAATGAACTAATGCGGGCAGCAAAAAGTAATTAGTCTGTCGGTGGACGAGGGATAGGCCAGTAAGCGCACTGACTTGCCAAAAATTACGACAGCCACAAAGACGAGCCTCCCAGCGGTCAATCTCACGAACAGTCAGCAGCAAACAAGCAGGTCAAAGTTCGTGCGCCGAGCATGGATATAATAATAGGCATGCAGCGAGGCTGAAACCATCCCTCCAAATTGCAACAGCCGCCACGTTACTCTGACGATGGAAACAAGCGAGTGTCCAAAACATCAGTCCCAATATAACTCGGTCCATGTGCTTTAACCTCCTTTTTCGTCTTCTCTGGGGAAAGATTAATAAATCGATAAATATCTGGACCTCAAATCTTTGAATATGTAACTTTACTTGGTGAATTTTCGTGTCTGGTGCCCCAGCTCGTCTCCAGACTAAGAGGAAATGTGCAATGAACAACTAAAATTACAAACAAGAGGGTCCGTCTCCAATCGCATCCGTGAACACTAATTGGCAATGAAAAGACGTGCATATGCGTCCGAAGTAGCTATGCATTGCCTAGACACATGACGGGCGTTTGCATGGGATAAAACAAGCATCGTCGGAGTTAGTCCTTCCAAATATGGCCGATAATTTCTTGAGGTCATGAACTCTGATGATTCATGCATCAACCGCCACATAGAATTAGAGGGAGATTGAATGCTTTATTTCGAAGGGAATAGTCAAAAACGTTCGGCAAAATGGCTCCATTCACGGACCGCAGGGCATAATTTAATTAAATATCATGGTAAATGGTCATAGAATACTCAACATTAAAGGTTTACACGATTTTTACATCTATTATGGCGACAGGTTGGCTTACAAGTTCTCAATTTCCGCTTCCAAATGCGTGAGGTAGCGTGCTAGGAATGGAAGTACAAAGTGCTGATATGCCGATGTACGGCAAGGCATATAACGGAAGCCTCGTCGCATTGTACCGGATAACTTTGCTGCCATTAGTTCAGAGTGAAGAGGGTGAGCAACCCCACTAAGAATGCGATCAGCAAATTGCTTGAACGTTTAAAGTGGCGCTGATGTATAATGCTAGCTAAAAAACAAATAGGAAACCCCGGTAGCTGAAGAGAGCATTCGGACCATACGTTTAAAATTGACCAGCCTCTTTTAAAGTTAAGCAGAAAAAATTACTGGAGAAGATTAAATAATGAGGGAGATTAAGCAGGAATCTATAAATTCCCAGCTTAGGGCCTGCGGTGTATGATATGAACGCAAGAAACGGAAAAAATATAAAAGTATACAGATTTTATAAAAAGGGCCTTCTATGTGAAGTGCAAATAAAGGGTAAGATGCCATAGTAACACCAAGCTATCGAAAAGAGGATACCTCTTTTGGCAGAATGTCAATATTAACAGGACTGGGACAGGGTCGCAGTCGAAAAATACACCGGAATGACTTCCAATCGTTAAGTAGTAATGCCATTTTCTGACCACCATGTAGAGACGTCGTCCGGCCATCCTTCAGTACCTGAATATGTATGTTAATTTTTTGAGGATGGCCACCAACCATATCATCAGCACATTTAACAAACAAACATTCGCTTGGCGATCGTAGGTAGATGGTATTGATTAGCACTTTAAAAAACAGTGGAAGTGACGAAGGCCGCACGACACAGACTGGCTGCAGCCACACTTACCAATCAGTTCTCCCACCATATATCTATTTGTTTTTTCCGCAGGTTTGACATGTTAGTTGTTCGTTGCACATTTCCTATTAGTCCGCAGACGAGCTGGGACGTCAGGCACTAAAATTCACCAAAGTTACCTTTATATCCCAGAGAACATCTTCTTTAAATTATACCCACATTTTGAAGATTGTATAAACAGCTAAACTTAATGGATCAATCGATTTCGAGAGTGCTCTTCAGTTGCTTCCTCTCATTGCATAACGTGAATTGACGTCAGAGAAAATACACAATTGAATTCATGCAAAGAAAATCGATACAAAACGGCAAGGCCACTGTAAATGGCCAAGAGGCAATCGATAATGAAGGAACTTTAAACGCTGTAGACAGCAAAAACTGGGGAAAAAACGTCCAAGACAAACAGATGAGGAGGGGAATGTGTAAACAGGGAGCCAGTGTTACCAAGGTAGAGTTAG